AGCACTATTAAAATTAGTCTAAATGACCCGCAAACAGCATTAGTTCTGCTGGACCCGGATCATCTATCGGTCAAACTATCAATCCGAACGATCTCAGATAACAGAAAACTTGATGAGCATTGGGATTTGGGATAATTGCCTAAGATAAACTCAAAAACGCTTTGTTTAAAAGTTAATTTACCAGAACTATAGCATCAAGATCAATCGACAGTAGCGTGTTTATTATAAGCGCTGGAGTTTTGTCATCTACCGCTTTAAATGCTCGATTCTGATTGGCTGTCAGTGTTTTTAGTGTTAATCATATAGGGGTAAAAACTTTCTGTGTCGTTATAGTTGTGATCTCATAGAATTATAATTATTAAAACTTTATAGTTATAGTTATCGTCATAGTACTTGGTGTGAACCGGACTAAACTTTTTCTACAATTTTACAACAAATCACAGTTGAAAAGCTAATAATTAATTAAATCACAAAAAAAGTAAGAATTGCAATGCATAGATTAAAGGGAAATTTTCCAAAATAAATTAATACAAATAAAAATGTCACTTTTATTCAGCAAGGACGCATTAAACCTGATTGGTCTTAACCCCAGTGACGGGTAGGTTTAGGGGCGGGGTTAGGAGTAGGCCATCGTCCCTGATTGGTCTTAACCCCAGTGACGGGTAGATTTAGGGGCGGGGTTAGGGGTAGGCCATTGTCCATGATTGGTCTTAACCCCAGTGACGGGTAGATTTAGGGGCGGGGTTAGGGGTAGGTCATTGTCCCTGATTGGTCTTAACCCCAGTGACGGGTAGGTTTAGGGGCGGGGTTAGGCGTAGGCCATCGTCCCTGATTGGTCTTAACCCCAGTGACGGGTAGATTTAGGGGCGGGGTTAGGGGTAGGCCATCGTCCCTGATTGGTCTTAACCCCAGTGACGGGTAGGTTTAGGGGCGGGGTTAGGGGTAGGTCATTGTCCATGATTGGTCTTAACCCCAGTGACGGGTAGGTTTAGAGGCGGGGTTAGGGGTAGGCCATCGTCCCTGATTGGTCTTAACCCCAGTGACGGGTAGGTTTAGGGGCGGGGTTAGGGGTAGGCCATCGTCCCTGATTGGTATTAACCCCAGTGACGGGTAGGTATAGGGGCGGGGTTAGGAGTAGGCCATCGTCCCTGATTGGTCTTAACCCCAGTGACGGGTAGGTTTAGGGGCGGGGTTAGGAGTAGGTCATTGTGGGGTGCGGATAACAGGAAAGTACCGATTTATATTTCTTAGGGTTAGCCTAAGGGTTTAACTAAGTTAGTCTAACCCTAGCTTTAGTTCATCAAATAATCCTGATTTAAATATGACTGTGTTCAACACTCATAATAATCATAAATGTTTCTCGATCATCGAGTGATTTGTGAAGGATCATGTGACACTGAAGAGTGGAGTAATGATGATAAATTCAGGAATAAATTACACTTTACTGTATATTCACATTGAGAACAGATGATTTACATTAGAATAATATTTCACTGTTTTTACAGTATTTTTGATCAAATAAATGCAGCTTTGGAGAGCAAAAGAGTTCAAAATACTCAAAAATACTTTATACTCAAAACTAAGAACACAACTTGTGTAACAGTGCTTGTTTCGTAACACAGCCAGTTACATCATCATTCGGTCAATCAAGTCAAAGGAATCAGAAAGCGGTCCGTATATTCCCCGTATAGTGTGTGTGTGTGTGTGTGTCTTCTGAGAATCTGACTCTCTCTCTGTGTGTGTGTGTGTGTGTGTGCGTGTGTTTCTATGGAGCATCCTTCTGAGAATCTGAACTCTCTCTCTGTGTGTGCGTGTGTGTGTGTGTGTGTGTGTTCCTAACACAAGCAGGGCTGTTATTCTCCGTCGGCCTCCTGCACCTTAGCGACCCAACGTTTGAGAAAGTGGCCTCAAGCTGCTCGAATGAAAAGAGGGAATCAAACAGAAGAGAGAGAGAAAGATTGTACAACCCCCCTGCACCTCTACCCAGCATGCTTTTGTGTGCGTATGTGTATATAACCACCAGTTCCCACACAGCCAACCAGACTCACGGGAGATTAATCTCCACTGACAACGTCGGCTGATCCCAGAGCAGTTTCCCTATCTCTTTCATTAGCGCTCGCTATGTGCTGAACATAAAGATGTTTCAGGTTAAGCTCAAGCATCAGCCGCATATTCTCATCACAAAATAAAATAATCTTGACTAAAGGCACGTTCACACCAAGAACGAGAACCATAAAGATAATTAGCGTTCACACAAACACAAGATAACGCTGTTTATTATTCAGGTTGAAATCCTGATAGCAATCACTATATCAAAGGAGTAGTTCACTTTTAGAAAAAAACTTTTGCTGATAATTTACTCACCCCCGTGTCATCCAAGATGTCCATGTCTTTCTTTCTTCAGTCGAAAAGAAATGAAGGTTTTTGATGAAAACATTCCAGGATTTTCTCCATATAATGGACTTCAATGGGGTCCAAACGGTTCAAGGTCCAAAAGACAGTTTCAGTGCAGCTTTAAACGACACCAGATGATGAATAAGGGTCTTATCAAGTGAAACGATCGCTCATTTAATAAATAAATATAACAAAGTTTAAGTTTTATAAGCTCAAATGCTCGCCTTGCTCTGTTCTGTGTGACTCTCCTGTTCAAACTCGTTCGAATCTTTTTCCTAGTTAAGTTCTTTGTTTTGCCTGTTGAATGAACCAAACGACTCGGAAAAAGATTCGTTCATTTTGATGCACGAGTTTGAACAGGAGAGTCACACAGAACAGAGCAAGGCGAGCATTTGAGCTTATAAAACTTAAACTTTGTTATTTATTTATTAAATGAGCGATCGTTTCACTTGATAAGACCCTTATTCATCGTCTGGTGTCGTTTAAAGCCCTTTGAACAGTTTGCACTGAAACTGTCTTTTGGACCTTGAACCGTTTGGACCCCATTGAAGTCCATTATATGGAGAAAATCCTGGAATGTTTTTATCAAAAACCTTCATTTGTTTTTGACTGAAGAAAGAAAGACATGGACATCTTGGATGACATGGGGGCGAGTAAATTATCAGAAAAAGTTTTTTTTAAAGTGAAGCGGTCTAAAAGAGTTTGGAAAAAAACCCGTTGTGTGAGCGAACGGCGGCATGAGTCACAACTTGCATTAAACTTGGGCTGAAAAAGAAAGACGGGCGGCTGGCGGACTCGTTCTGATCGGTTAACCGATAACTATGGCAACAGCAGTGGCGTTGAGGCTCACACGGCACCCTGCTTATTCTCATTCCAGTCAGGAACGACCCACTTCACACACCACCCTGGGAAAAAACGGCCTCTCTAAAACACACACACACACACCATACATGGGAGTCTGAATGTAGATGATACACCCCCACACACACATACACACACACGCGAGGTGCTTTCAAAAAAAGGCAACAGAAAACAGCGCACGTAAGCCGCTGAGATTTCCAGAGGTTTTCACCTGTCACTGTAGGAAAGGGAGGAGCATGAGATGTGTGTTGATAAGGAGGAAGGTAAAACACTCTTCGTTTAGCTCTCTCTCTCTCTCTCTCTCCTGTCGTCCCAGAGGGAATGTACAGACACACAGATTTGGGCCGGACAGATAAAAAGGTGGACCACAGCAAACCCTGTTAAAATGCTTTTCCAAGGAAACGCTTTGAAGTTTAAACAGGAAATGCACGCTTTCCTGAATAAGAATGTCATTCACTTCATACATAAAGTTTAAATAAAAAACCCGAAAAACTTTGAAAGGTGAATCTCGTGGAACGTGTCATATTTCACACCAAAATCAAGAGGGGGAAAATAGATTATATTGACATACATTAAAAAAAAAAAAGTGTTGTAGAAAATATATTATATTTCACAATAAATAAAATCATTTCTAAGCATCAATGATTTTTTTTGCATTCATAACATTGTGTATTTTTTCTGTATATATATATATATATATATTAATTTTACAAAACTGACACTCGATTAGACCGTAAATGAAAATCAACATCCAGAATAACGATAAAGTAAAAGATCTATGCAATTGTCATGCCAGTTAATCATATTTTCTAAATAATATGTCATTACTTCAATGCAAAAAAGCATATCACATACATTAAAAACAATATAATATTTTAAATTAAAATATAAAACATATTAGTTTTTTTACTGTAACACAAAAATACAATATCACAGTAATTAGATTAGAACAAAATGCCTTTTGTGGATTAGTATTTTTTTTTAAATTATGACATTATTTCCAAATATTCTATTATTGTAATTCAAAAAGAATATTATAAACTATATAATATTTCAAATTAAAACTAAAAAACAGTTTTTTTACTGTAACACAAAATATGCGATATCAGAGTAATAAGAGTCTAATCACCAACGAGAATAAGCTTAGTTTAATTCTACAAAACATGAGAAAAGGCCCTTGCATTTGTTTTTTCGTTTGAGGCGAGGAAATGTCACCCGAGATTCAATTCCACTTTATTTATATATCGCTTTTCACAATAAATATTGTTGTCTCCTAAGAAGTATTCTGCTATCAGATTAATGTCCATATGGCAATAATATATGTTACAATAAGTGCTCAGTTATCGTCACATATTCAGTTAAGCTGATAACAACGTGCTCGTAATAATTACAATATAAGGATTTTGTTTGATAGTTTCGCCAGATTCAGCCTATAACTTTTAGTCACTCTCTCCGCAGAAGCACTTGGACTTGCATTACTTTGTACCCCTGCGGGCAGACTCCGGGGTCACCGCACCTGCTGACCTCAGTGTTCCCCACACCGGGAGATTTCAGGAGGTTTAAACCCTGACAAGAGGCTGACGCCGCTAAGTCGGCCGTCGCTGAGCGCATGAAGGCCTCAAACAGCAGTTATCTCATCAGACTTTTTTTTAAAAAGAAAAACCTCTTGATTTGCTTTAAAGAAGCGCAAAAGTCATGATTTCACATTACAGCAGCGCTGAGCATCAAGGTTTAAGGTGACGTACCTGTAGTCTGAGGAGTAGTTTGGTTTTTCTGTTCTTTATTCCACCTTTTCCCCTCTTTGTTTTTCTTTTTAGCCTCTTCTCTCTTTCTTTATCGTTCTATTTCCACCAGAGCTGTGCTAATGGTATCTGTGAGAGCGACAGACTGAATGCATGTGTGTGAGTGTGTGTGTGTGTGTGTGTGGAGGGAGGGATTGTTTGTGTTTTTGCTGCGAGCTGAAAGCCCAACTGACTCGGGATCACACACACTCATTAATACAAGGTCATTTCAGGGACGAGAAAGAGCTAAAGCAAGCTGTCTGTCTGTCAGTCAGAGAGAAAGAAAGGATAAAAGTATGAAAGGAAACTGAATAAATTCTCAGTCTGGTGTGTGAAATTAAACCCCGCCGTCTTTCACTCGCTGCCGTTTCCCTCGACACACTACGGTAGGGTGATACTTCCGGACTGTACGCCACGCTAAGAGGATTGTCTGGTGTAAACGCATTTATTTCCACGCCGCGAGCGGAGAACACATCAGCTTCACTCGAGTACAAATCAATCAATTCTTGTGTCTGAAAACAGGCCAACAGCAACACAAACCCATGAACACACTCTCCGTACACTGATTTTATGGTCAAATTAAACTAATTCTAACACGATGGTTGTAAATTAGAGAGTTGCGGATGTCTTCCAGCAGTTTTTAAACCTGATATATTAAATATAAGTGTGAAAACTCTCATTTTAGGAAACATTTTAGAGTATCGTATTTTATACATCAGGCTTTTATGGCTCATTAAAGGGACACTTCACCTCTGGAAAGATGAATGTGTATTTAAAATGGGTCATTTATGTAGAAGAAATGTGAAATTATTTTTGAATTTGGAGCTTTCTAGACTGAGAAAAGCCAGAAAATGTGTTTTTGGCTTATGTGGATGAAAGACAACAACTCCCAGAATGCACTTGGAAAAAAAATGTATTCAGAGGATCAAAAATATGGAATTTTCAGATTTTTCTATATTGTGTTTGTAATGTAATTAATGAGATCTTAAAAACAGATTATGAAATAAAATACATAAGTATTAGTCAGTATTAGTTATTATAAAGTTAGTTTTGATCAAAGCTTTGTAGTTTTAAAACATATGATTCAATGCAATACAATGATGATTGACAGATGAACAAATAAACCGTTCTCAAAAACCTGATGACAGATTTTTCAAAAAAATCACGTATGGATAATGAAGCTAAACTGCTTTAGTAAGTGTTTCTCTTGAAATATTACGTACAATATCAGAGTTATTATTATTACGTTTCAAAGATTTCACAGATTTTACAGCAAAAAGACTCTGAGGAAGACTTTGTTCAACTATACTAAAAGGCTTTAACTTGCTAATAAAGTCTAAACTGTCAATCAGGAGAATGTGTGCAACAGGTTTAGTCTAGTTTTTTTTAATCAATTTAGAGGCTTTTAGTGTATCAAATATGATACAGTATCATTATAGGGTTAAAAGTTTGAGCCCAGATGCAACAAACCTTAATCTAAACAAACCAGATGCATCTAAACAAACCCCATAGGCCAGAAACATATTGTATCCGCAAGCACACGCAGATGTTACTCTTTAGCCGACATCATGAGAACACAGAGCTTGTGTTGCTGCTGTTGAATTAGTTCACTAATTAACTCCAGCTGCAAAGCTTAAAACTCAAAAAGTATCGTTCTCCGCCAAGAAATTCCCTAACCTCGATGAAAGGATCGCAGAAGGAAGATCTAAACAAAACATCTGTAATAAAGTCATCAGGCCAGCTGGAAAATACATCTGTGATCCTGCCAAGAGAAAAGATTCCCTCACACAAACAAACACACACACACACACAGACAGACAGACAGACAGACAGACAGACACACACATCATAAGACAATATCTTCAATATGAAATATTAATACAGTCAGTCAGAGACGGAGACGCCCTGAACACCTGCAGTTTCACATCTCTTCTTCCTTCCTCTCATTTTCTGTTCATGAATATTACACATTCATCTGCATCCCTCCATCTTTCTTTCTTTCCACTCCTCCTTTCCGAGGAAACCCCAGAGTGCTGGAGGTCGCGTCACACACACCTCTGATCTGAACACGGCTTCTGTTACTCACCCGTCCGCCGGCCCTCAGAGGGTCTGATGAAACCAAACGAAATCTTGAAATCCTGACGCTAGACAGATTCAGACAGACCCCCGCTGAACACTATAGCAACACTAACTCTATACTAACTCTACACTAACTCTACACTAACTGTACACGAGACAGATTCAGACAGACGCCCGCTGAACACTATAGCAACACTAACTCTACACTAACTCTACACTAACTCTATACTAACTCTACACTAACTCTATACACTAGAGAGATTCAGACAGACGCCCGCTGAACACTATAGCAACACTAACTCTACACTAACTCTACACTAACTCTATACTAACTCTACACTAACTCTCTACTAACTCTACACTAACTCTACACTAACTCTCTACTAAATCTATACTAACTCTACACTAACTCTATACTAACTCTACACTAACTCTGTACACTAGACAGATTCAGACAGACGCCCGCTGAACACTATAGCAACACTAACTCTACACTAACTCTACACTAACTCTACACTAACTCTCTACTAACTCTACACTAACTCTCTACTAACTCTACACTAACTCTACACTAACTCTATACACTAGAGAGATTCAGACAGACGCCCGCTGAACACTATAGCAACACTAACTCTACACTAACTCTACACTAACTCTATACTAACTCTCTACTAACTCTACACTAACTCTACACTAACTCTACACTAACTCTATACTAACTCTACACTAACTCTCTACTAAATCTATACTAACTCTACACTAACTCTATACTAACTCTACACTAACTCTGTACACTAGACAGATTCAGACAGACGCCCGCTGAACACTATAGCAACACTAACTCTACACTAACTCTACACTAACTCTCTACTAACTCTACACTAACTCTCTACTAAATCTATACTAACTCTACACTAACTCTATACTAACTCTACACTAACTCTATACACTAGACAGATTCAGACAGACGCCCGCTGAACACTATAGCAACACTAACTCTACACTAACTCTACACTAACTCTATACTAACTCTACACTAACTCTATACACTAGACAGATTCAGACAGACGCCCGCTGAACACTATAGCAACACTAACTCTACACTAACTCTACACTAACTCTACACTAACTCTACACTAACTCTATACTAACTCTACACTAACTCTACACTAACTCTGTACACTAGAGAGATTCAGACAGACGCCCGCTGAACACTATAGCAACACCAACTCTACACTAACTCTACACTAACTCTCTACTAACTCTACACTAACTCTACACTAAATCTACACTAACTCTACACTAACTCTATACGCTAGACAGATTCAGACAGACGCCCGCTGAACACTATAGCAACACTAACTCTACACTAACTCTATACTAACTCTACACTAACTCTGTACACGAGACAGATTCAGACAGACACCCACTGAACACTATAGCAACACTAACTCTACACTAACTCTATACTAACTCTGTACACTAGACAGATTCAGACAGATGCCCGCTGAACACTATAGCAACACTAACTCTACACTAACTCTAAACTAACTCTATACTAACTCTACACTAACTCTACACTAACTCTGTACACTAGAGAGATTCAGACAGACGCCCGCTGAATACTATACCAACACTAACTCCATACTAACTCTACACTATCTCTCTACTAACTCTACACTAACTCTCTACTAACTCTACACTAACTCTCTACTAAATCTATACTAACTCTACACTAACTCTACACTAACTCTACACTAACTCTACACTATCTCTATACTATCTCTATACTAACTCTACACTAACTCCACACGCTAGACAGATTCCCGCTGAACACCAAAGCAACACTAACTCTATACTAACTCTACACTAACTCTATACTATCTCTATACTAACTCTACACTAACTGTACACTATCTCTATACTAACTCTACACTAACTCTACAGGCTAGACAGATTCAGACAGACGCCCGCTGAACACCAAAGCAACACTAACTCTATACTAACTCTATACTATCTCTCTACTAACTCTATACTAACTCTACACTAACTCTACACTATCTCTATACTAACTCTACACTAACTCTACTAACTCTACATGCTAGACAGATTCAGACAGACGCCCGCTGAACACTACAGCAACACTAACTCTATACTAACTCTACACTTACTCTACTAACTCTATACACTAGACAGATTCAGACAGACGCCCACTGAACAGTAACTCCATACTAACTCTGTACTATACCTATCTATCTATCTATCTATCTATCTATCTATCTATCTATCAGTTGTCTGTCTGTCTTAGACAGGCAGACAGACAGATAGATAGACTTGGTCAAGCCAACATAATTTACTAAATCTGCTAATTGAACTAGTCTAACTGTATATTATGCATTGATACAGAATGTGTAACAGCTTATTGTAATGTAACTTTAAATGTGAACAAACCATATTAGAAATTATAGTTTGAACTTAATCTACTGTCTTTCTTTCTCGCATGTATTTAAAAGTGTTTGTCTTTTTGAGTTCCACATCTTATTAATGTAGCGTTTCAGAGCTCAGAAAACCTGAGCTAATAGCTTTGCATAATTCAAAACAATGGTTGTAACGATAAATTGCTTAATTTTTCCCCTGTCTCAGGTAATTTGCTTTTCATTGTAAACATGTTTCTGCTACCTGGATCATCACACCGAGGTGCGTTCATACGCCGTGCCGTTCTTACAAAGAGCGACTGAGGAAACAACTCAGCAAACAAATCACACACACACACACCCCTTGATTTCTCTTGTTGTTAAAAGTAACTTGGATGATGAAAGGGAGGGTAAAACCTTCACAGTGACATTACATCCAAAAATCATTCTCCAAACTTTGAATCGTCATTCAGCCAAAAACAATCTGCAGGCCGTCAAGCATGACTGTGATGCCAGATTTGGAATAATTGGAACATTGGAAAGAAAAGTAAGAGTGTGTGTGTGTGTGTGTGTGAGATTGAAAACCCCTCCAAGCGGTTCAAATATTAAAACCACGAGGCGGCTGTTGCTTTGCATATTTCACTGCATGTGC